ACCTAGAGAAGTAACACCATCTTTTCCAATCTAAGTTTTTTTTCACTGCAAATTTTTCCTATGCTTAATTTATTGCTGAATATCTGCTGTGAGAAACACTCCATTAGTATCTTCTGTTTACGTTTGACTGTAAAACACCAGCCACATGCGTGGGCAGATCTGTATAAACATTTTACCTCATGCAGATATCAAATTAAAACAAAATATTCTGAGCTGAGTCTAACAAATAAGAAAGCTCTCTCGAATGCTCAGTTAATTGGTTTAGAGCAGGGATCTATGCAAAGTGATGCCTTTAGCTCTGTACCTTGCAAAGGAGCAAGGAACATGACTCAAAAGGTGTATTTTCTATACATCTTAGAGAACCGTGGTCTGGTCTTGTGGCTTCATATATATTTTTGTGAACGTGGTGCCAGAACAGGTCCAAGCAGTTTGAACACATCCTCCAAAGGCCCCATCTGGGCTGTAATTTGGGCAAGGACACCAAAGACTGGACAGCGGAAAGCCAGAAGCTGATGCCATATGTAGATTTCTAAGCATTAATTAAAAAATCAAATCAAGTCTCTACCTTTCCCCTGCCCCCCCAGCCGCTTGCAAAGGGACAACAAAGCACGACAGATCTACCTCAGGACACTGGAAGAGAGGGGGGAAAAAGAATCAGGTCAAAGCACACACTATACAAATCCTTGGGATGCCGTAGGGCACAGTATGCAACGACCTCAGACTGTTTTGAAAATCGATTACAGAAGGCCTTCAGCTGAATGGAGTCAATGACCCTATCCGTGCACGGCAAAAGGAAAACAGCTACGTCTTCTCTGAGCTGATACACACGAGGGTTTCTGGCCTGGCATCCTCACGGTGGCCAGCCAACGGGGACCTATGGAAACAGCCCCTCCCAGTTGTTCTTCAGACCAAGAGAAGAAAAGGCTGGCTTTCTTTTCGTAAAGATTTGATTTTCATGAGATCAAAATAGACAAACTCCGATTTTCTTCCTCCCCTTTGAAAAAACCATCACCAGCTGTGCCAGGGGTCAGGACGTAATAGACAAAGAACGTGTGTAATTCAGGAACTACAACTGCCTAATGAAATATACGTCAAAAGAGACAGCTGGCCTGAAGGCTTGGGCTGCCCAGTGCCTTTGTCTTAAGGTTTTCTCTAACTGGAAGTACAGGAGGATCAGGACTGGTGAAACGGGGCGAATTTTATCTCATCTATCCAATTGCCAATGTCTTCTTTTTTGCACATAAGCTTGCCAGCTTCAGGATTTGAATTACTGTCCGGTTAAAGCTGGTCTGCTCAGGGGGCATGAGCCACAACCAACGTGTGAGCACGAAGGGTTTAGTTCCTGGTGGGCAGGGCGTTCCAACACAGGAAAGAAACACTGAGTATGAGCTGGGTAGCAAAGGAGTGGCACCATTAAGACTTAGGATGCTCCAGCAGGCATAGAAAAATGAGTCTTATTGTGTTCCTACTTGGGAGAGACTCTGGGCTGATAGCTGTTTCCATCATCCTCATTAGAGCAGGAGAACTAGCAAAGGTCTTGGTTCTCAGACATGCACCAAGCTCTCTCCATCAGTGCTTGAAGCACAGAAGATATTTATGCTAATTATATAAAAAGATTTTTAATGAAACAAAGATGAAGGAATTTGCATTAAGATCGAAGACCATCACTTCTGAGAAGTTTGTATATTGGAGCACAGGGATTACATAGCTTAAAAGCATACACTTTTCAAACACGGGGAACAGGATACACCAGCACCAGTTCACCTGACTAAATATATTTTCCAGACAATGGTGCAAAAACCTTTTGAAGTCAAGCAATACTGAAGTAAAAAAAATTAAAAAGGGTCAAAAGTAGCTCCATTAATTCTCTTTGCCTTTGCTAATGTAATCCATGCAATCCTGTCTTCCTTTGTTTCTCTTTCTTCTCTCAGAAAACCCCATAGCAACAGTAGAGGAAATGAACTACGAGTTCAGTACCACAAAAACCTATGAGTGGGCTGACTTTTAAGCACGTGAGAAGCTCAGTGGCTTCAGCTGGGACTGAATGCTCAGCTCGTGCTGCAGGGCACTGCCAAGGTGGGACCTACCGGCTGGAAAGGGACTAAACGTCCACGTGCCATCAGAGAAGCCAGGACAAGGTGTTCACACTCCAGCAAGAATTAGTTGCCTGTAGAGACTGTAGAAAGAGTTTAGCAGTTTAGAGTTTAACCTCCATGGGCTGCAGGTGGATATCTGCTCCACCATTAACCCCCACGGGCCCCAGGTGGATATCTGCTCTACCATTAACCCCCACGGGCCCCAGGTGGATATCTGCTCCACCATTAACCCCCACGGGCCCCAGGTGGATATCTGCTCTACCATTAACCTCCACGGGCTGCAGGTGGGTATCTGCTCTACCATTAACCTCCACGGGCTGCAGGTGGGTATCTGCTCTACCATTAACCTCCACGGGCTACAGGTGGATATCTGCTCCACTGTTAACCTCCATGGGCTGCAGGGGGACAGCCTGCCTCACCATGGTCTTCACCACAGGCTGCAGGAGTGGTGCCTGGAGCACCTCCTCCCCCTCCTTCTTCACTGACGTTGGGGTCTGCAGGGCCGTTTCTCTCACATATTCTCACTCCTCTCCTCTGACTGCTGCTGGTGTGCAGTTCTTATTTTCCCTTCTTAAATACGTTATCCCAGAAGCACCACCAGCATCACTCATGGGCTCAGCCTTGGCCAGCAGCAGGTCTGTCTTGGAGCAGGCTGGCATTAGCTCTATCAGACATGGGGGAAAACTTCTAGAAGCTTCTCACAGAAGCCACCCCTGTTGCCTTCTCCCACCACCAAAACCTTGCCATGGCAAACCCAACACAGACTTTGAGGAAAACCACCCTAAAATATAAATCTCCAATTAGATGTAATAAAACATTCTTTTTATAAGCCCTGAGCCAGAAAACACCAGCAAATACTTTGTCTCCCATGTTTCATCCATTAGTATGACCCAAGGAGAGTCAATCGTATTGCAGCAGATCTTCTTCTGTAATCCACAGCATGCAATTCCTCATTTTGCTTGACAACTCAATAACTCTAACTTTTAATCCTTAAAGGGGTGGGGCTGAATCTTCAGAAAAAGACACATTCTCTCTGGTCACAGGAGATAGAGGAATGCCCTGCTGCTCTCTCCCCTGATTCTCTTTGTATAGTCCATGCCAGAATCCTACCAGCTCTGTCTATAAAGATTTTCAGGGAAGACAAAATGTGTACTGATAAAATACAGGCTCCTTGTTCCTCCAAATCATACTGGTTAAAACCAGTGTAAAGATTTATTTTATCCTTTAACATCCTGAAATTCTTATAAATTACATTACAAAAGTCCATCCTGTATTTTACAGCACTGAATCACAGGATGATATGGGGTCGGAAGGGCCCTCTGGAGATCATCTAGTCCAACCCCCTGCCAAAGCAGGGCCACCCAGAGCAGGTCCCACAGGAATGTGTCCAGGTGGGTTTGAATGTCTCCAGAGAAGGAGACTCCACCACCTCCCTGGGCAGCCTCTGCCAGGGCGCTGCCACCCTCAAAGTGAAGAAGTTCCTCCTCAGGTTTAGGTGGAACTTCTTATGTTCAAGTTTGTGCCCATTTCCTCTTGTCCTGTACCTGGGCACCATCCTCTTGACACCTTCCCTTGAAGTATTTATAAGCATTGATCAGATCCCCCCTCAGTTCTTCTCTTCTCCAGACTAACAAGACCCCAGTCCCTCAGCCTCTCCTCATAAGAGAGATGTTCATCATCTTTCCCCTCATCATCTCTGTAGCCCTCTGCTGTCCCCTCTCCAGCAGTTCCCTGTCCTTCTGGAACTGGGGAGCCCAGAACTGGTCCCAGTGCTCCAGATGGGGCCTCCCCAGAGCAGAACAGAGGGGCAGGATGACCTCCCTCCACCTGCTGATCACATTCTTCCTGATGCCCCCCAGGATGCCATTGGCCTTCTTGGCCCCAAGGGCCCATTGCTGGCTCATGGCCATCCTGTTGTCCACCAGGACTCCTGGGTCTTTCTCCTCAGAGCTGCTCTCCAGCAGGTCCCCCCCAACCTGTCCTGGTGCAGGGGGTTATTTCTCCCCAGGTGCAGCACCCTGCACTTGCCCTTGTTAAACTTCATCAGGTTCCTCTCTGCCCAACTCTCCAGCCTGTCCAGGTCTCGCTGGATGGTGGCACAGCCTTCTGGTATGTCCGCCACTCCTAATCAGGACAGAAGACAAAAATATATATTTCTTCTTGAGTGACTTAGCTTTCAAAAAGTTGGGCATCCCCATTGATCCGTGCCTCTCTTGAAAATCCCAGACCAGGTGGCCTCTGGGGAACACTGTGGCAGAGCAAAGCAAGTGCTGCTTTCTCTTGGAATTTCAACATATAAGAGAAAAACAGTGAATCAGGGGATTTTTATTACTGTGACTAACAAATGATCAAAAAAAGCACTCAATATTCCATTTTAATGTAACTAGCTTGAATGAGAAAACTTAAGGAGGCCTGATAAGTTTGTAAATTAGTGACAATAAAACAGATGTGAAAACTGTTTATAGCATATAACTCAAATACACACACAATGTAATTGCCTGTTTTATTTAGTGGAATCACTTTTGTAGATTAGAAATGTTTCCAGTTCCCATTTACTCCAATGCAAACTTCCACCATCGACAGGCAGACCACACTTCGTTCAATTGATTCCAAACAAAAAAAAAAAAAGAAAAGTTTTATGAAGCTGACTTCATCAATGGAGACATATGACTCTCCCTAGCGATGTTCTTAAAACATTAGCTCAGATTTGTAAAAGCAAGACCCGGTATGCATGGCATGTTATCACAAGAAAACCTACAATTGTGAAGAGAGGAGCAATCGTCTGACCCATTCTTAATTCCTCACCTCTAACCAAAAAAAAAAAAAAAAAGGGAAAAAAAAAAAAGTACAATCTCAAAAGTTAAGTTAGAAACTAAGTTCACACATTTTCTTTGGGACCAGGAATCTGTACATAGTACAAAATATACATTTATTGAACTTTCTGTAAACACACAGTTTGAATTGTGTAAAACTGTAAATGGTGGGTGAACTACGTGGAGAATAATTTATTACATATTGTTATACATTCTACTTAAGGAAAATAGTTATGCTCTTGTATATTTCTCTGTTAAATCTATAAATTCCATAATGACGTTGTGTAATCTGCAAACATGCTTTTCAAGCTTAAATCTCTCCATTCGTAACACACATTTATACAGGTCATCAATGAAAAAAGTTACACTTTCCACAAAATAGATATAAAGAGGTCATGAATTTTCTAAAAAGACAGGCACAGCATGTCACTACAAACGAGACTCTTATGATACACCGTGGAGTCAATTCTGTGAGAAGACGGGTGAAAACTCTCTAATTCAGCATGTTTCTACATGGTCTCAGTAACAAGACAGACGCCAGAACCCAAAATTTCTGCTTTGACAGATTTATGAAGCAGCCAATTCTGGAAATCAAACCTCACACTTCTCCAACATTCAGTATTCCCTGGTTAGGAGAACCTAGGCTTTTGTCTTGTATTAACCCTTCAGCCTTAGTAATTTAGTTGTCCGAGCAGTAAACTACCCCGCACTATTTGCCAAGAACATTTGTGCAATTCAGCACTTACTCCAAAAACTAGATTCCTGGCACCAAAGAGTTAGAGGTGGTTAATAAATACAACTTAACTCTTGGTACTGGAGGTCACGCAAATCCCACCCTCGGCAACACAGCACATGCTGGGAAATCCCACCTTCCAGCACCTCGGGCACTCTGTTGTACAATGCCTGGTTTCCAGTTTGAGAGCCTGGAAACATCAAATTGCAGCAGACTTGCCCATCTGGCACCCAACACTCAGCAACAATAAAAAACTCCCCTACAACCACTAGCAAAGATCCTTTCGGTAGGTCCATCTCTGGACACGGAGGTAACGCTACCGAAATTCAGCACATTTCTTCCTAGATTTTTAGGCTCTCATTGTTTTTTCCATCCCAGGTAACTCATTTTGGATTTCATCCTTTTATTCATTCTATTCAGCTAAAAGCACTAGGTCACAGACTGAACCTCTTAAACAGTGCCCCTCTGGTGTTTTAAAAGGAAAAATAGGCTGACTTCCGTGTTTAAAGAAATAGTTATCTCCAATTCATCTAACCTTTTGCTTTAACATTACCACCTTCTTCCCTTTGGCTTTGAAAAACTTTTTCAAAACCACAACTGGATAAAGATTACATTTCTTTTTCATTCCGAGAGAAGCGGGACAGTTAAGGCTGTAACAATACATCTGCAAACTTCACAGATTGTGAGTGAAGCTCCATCAGTGTCAACAGGATGTAAAGTTAAGTACATGCCTGATTTCTCCAAGAGTAGCTTAATTTATTAATTTCCCCTGTAGTTTGAACAAAAATACTGAAATTCCACAGTGAAAATGAAATTGGCTACTCAGTACTTCCATGGCTGGGTTGAATTCATTAATGCAAGTGAAATTAAACTCCGGACCTTAATCTACAGCTGTTGATAGAAATAAAAAGTACGTAATGTTTGAAGAGCCACCAGTCTGTTTTCTCATTTTTCTTCTCAAAGCTATTTATCAAAGGAAACAATGGCACCTCCTTCAACCTCGGAGTCTTATTCACAACGTGTATTGAGAGTCCTGTCTACTTCAGCTGTAAAAAAAACCCCACACTCCCCCCCTCTCCCCCCCAGCTCTTCCAAGCCACACAGTTAATGGAAGCAAAAATGAATTTCAGTTTTAGCTCAATGGTACTGAGCGAGCTGAGAAGTGCAGACGTAGCGCTCTTAAAGGAGAACGTTCCTGTCTGACACAGCACTCCCCCTTGCAAAGAGACAGCTGGTTACACAGTAGTAAGGACCATTGGTTTTATTCTTCTTTTTTTGGGGGGAAAAAAAAAGAAAGAAAGAAAGAAGTACATATCTAGTCATATTCTAAAAAAGCATTTGGGCAGGAATCAGTACAAGCGTAAAAACTGGCTAGACATAAAATAATATATACTCTAGAAATCTGACCTGTCATCCCACCTCTGCTGGAGTTTTAACGCTTTCAGAATATAACTATTTCATGAATTCTATAAAACGCATTTTTAGAGCTAGGCCCGCTTTCCCAAATTTTGTGGTTGCAACGTTAGGAAGTTTGTTCTTGTTGGATTTAAAGCAAGGCTCCCCCAAACCCCTTTCCTAAGACAGCACTATCACTCCTGTGCTCTTCGCTTGGAAGAAAAGACTTTGAAAGAGTGTCTACATGATGGGGGAGTGGAAATAGACCTGCTTTGCTGCTACTCAAAAGGAACATCAAATAAAAACATAGATAAAGCAAGGAACGTGCCCAGAGATTAGGTCACTGTAGGTACAACTGACACAATCGGGAGAGTAAAGCTCCAGGCATTTTTTTCACCTAGTAAATATGCTGGATATTCTTTTCCTTTTTTACTTGAAAGCATTCAGTGGTCCATGAGAATAAAGAAAAGCTTTTCCTATAGCTTCTTGAACTTCTGTGAACAAATACCACCACCCAGGTGACCCACCACCTCATTTACAAAGCAGCATTGCTGAGCACAAGGCCAGGAAGAGGTTCAGGAGGTGCACACCTGGGTGTGCAGAGCCCAGCAGAACGTGTGAGCCATCACAGAGACAGCCTGGAGCTCACCCACAGACAGGTCAGTCAAAAGCACTCAGCCCCTGATTGTTACTTCTAAATTTGGCTCCACTTTTACAGCTTATAGCAGGAATCACGTTAATTTTGAGTAGTGCAGCATCCTAGAAATTCCCATGTGGAGCCTCTTTCTACCACTTGAAGAGTTAAAAAAAGTCTAACCCAGTCAAGTAGAGACTTTACACCCTGTACTGGTATATAAAGGCTTGGGTTATGGTTACCTCCAACACACTTAGCTGTAGGAACAAGGAGCCACACCAGTTATCTAGGAGACATTATTTTCACACCTCACAGCACAGAGTGACCATTCCATTTTCTACTGAAAGCTGTTGGGTACAGCTCCATAGCTCTACATGGTCTTGCTGTTTCTAAGTCTATGCAAGGTACATCAGGTTCACATTTTATGAAAGGTTAGCCCATTACAGACACGGCCAAGTTTAAATATCAAGAAATTTAAGTGTAACAACTCATGTGTCAAGGAGGTACAGGTAGAGATGGAGGTGAACATCTCAGCAGGATGAAATCCTGATGTACATTGAAAAAAGTAAACTGTAACAATCACATCATTAACCTGATTGTGGCAATCATGCTGTCTGTCCCACAGGACCAGGCTACTTACATCTAAGAGAGCAAACAGAAAACAAGTTTGTCAACATGGAACTCATACACAAGACACTTTGGTTTCAGTTTTAAGGGAAAGAATGTTTACCAGCACAAAACGTTTGTCTTAAACACAGAGTGGAGAAAGATCAGCAAAGGCTTCGATACTCCCTACACAGGTCAATCATTAATCTGCATTTAGGGCCTCGTTTACCCAAACTGTGACAAAAAGGGGTGGTGCAACCATTCCTTTACTCTCAGTCCTGTCACCCCACTCCACATCTTACCCTCAATCCAGTCACGGGATGCTTGTACATCAGCGCACCCAGCTGAAGAGTGCAGTTGGGTTGGTTTTGTCAGCCACAAAAGCACGACTGCTGGCACAAAAAGGGCAAAGCTTACAGAAATGGTTTAGTCTTGATATAAATTGATCATGAAGCCATCTCCTTAGTTCATAAATTACTAAAAAAGTGCAATAGGAAGTATATCCTATCCCAGTGTCACAAATTAAGACAAGGTTCTTATCAGGGAATCAATTGAAGTGAAAACTCTTCCCTCATTTCATTAAATCACCTTTTCAAGCTTTCAGTTCTTGAACTGAACAAAAAGGCTCAGATTTTAATCTATACAGCTAAAACAGTACCAGCTTTGCAATAACCCACTTAATGGAAGCTGAAGTCAGTTTATCCTAGGCAGATATAAAAATAATTAGCTTTGGCACCTGCATGAACGCTCAGGGTGAGGGCTATCACCACTCTGCTGCTGCTTAATATTCATCAGCCGTCTTGCTGGTATGACACAACTAGGGTTATGGCCATCCAGCACAGTTTAAGGACGAGGAGATGAAATTTCTGTCTCCAATTCCGACTTCTACTGGAAGATGAAGGATGGCCATGCATCAAGGTCTTTTTGGTGCTGCTCCCTGGGGAGGTAGGACCAGGCCAGCCGAAAGGGACCTGCAGGCTTCTGCCCCACCAGGTGTTACCGGGGACCCTACCGGTCCAATGGATTTACAAAGCCTTGCAAATCCAGGAGCCTATTTAACGTAATTGCATTTAGTTAAACCAACATTGGTTTGAAAAAAAATATTTTAGGAGCTTCTGTCTTGAACATATTTCAATGCTGAATTAGCGAGGATTGTTTGAAACGGTTGTTCATAAAGCAGTACAGGTATTCTCCCACAACCACCAGTGAAACATTTAATCTGACTATAACAAAACTCACAGAAACTGAAGCCAGTGAAGCTCTCAAACGCAGAAGGGAAACAAAGGTGCATGGGCATACAAAGCAAAGGAGCTTTACAAACCTCATTTCCTTTTAAAAACAAGCAAATCGGGACCGTCCTATTTGAACACGTATTTAAAAATACATCTTTTAACATCGCACAATTTTGATGTTTGTCACACAGGAATCTTTTTCCAAGAAGGAAATAAATAGCATACAATACTTTAAAAAAAATAATAAAATTGCTGCCTTGCCCCTGAGGTGCTAATGTTTTTAGCATTTAAAAAAAAAAAGTTTCTGGTACAAGAAGGAGATGCACAAAGGTGCAAAAGTGCCTTTTTCTTTTCAGAGCAGTGAAAAGTACAGCTTGCCTTTTTTTTCTAGAATGCTTTACATACTTAATTTGTTTATTGTTTTAATCTAAATCTGTATCTAAAATGGCAGTGTTTATGCATACGTCATAGATTCAGTGCTCTGACCTCATCAAAACGCTGATCACAGGCGGGAGAGAGAAAGGCCTGAAACGGGCTTTCTTCTGCTGCCCTCAAACCCAGTTACATCGCCTGTAGCAACAGCAGAATTATTTTCTTTCCGACCTTTAGGAGGCCTCATGAGAAGAGGCTTCAAATATACCATTTGTCACGGAGACAGTTTAAGCGGTTATGGTTTGAAGTATGGCTTTCCACACCACAGTTTTGCTTGCAATTTTTAAAGTTTAAAACTCAAAGGTTCCACAGTCCAGTTCAAGGTTTTGCAGTTTCCAAAACTAAACTTCAGTCTCTATGAAAAAGGACAGAACTTTACCTGCCTCATCCTAAATTAGGTTTAGCTTTTTTGCACTAATACGTCGTGTATTATTAAATATGCCTGTTAATTAGGTGCCTGTGAAGCTATAACTTAACATTATTATAGTTTTGCACTCTACAACAAAATTAGACATTTTAAGCATTTATTCGTAGGTAGGTAAGGAACTGGTTCTTTAAGCAAAAATTGCTATAAATTTATAAATACAAATAGTGCTTGTGTTTTCTTCATTCATGCTTGAACAGATTACAAACTGAATACAATGAAGTTACGTTTAAGCACCCCACATAGACAAGAGGGATAGAAGAAAAGTTTGCTGGTATATACTATACTTAGTTCCAAGACACTATAAGTTACTTTTTCACTGTTCAGTGTTCCCTAACTCTGCATTAGTTTTAAGGCTATATATACAAATATGTATATTTCAAAGTTAGGGAAAGACAAATATAGCAAAATGCATTGTACTACATTTTCCTATCAAAAACTAATTATACACCGAGTTTTGATTCTGTTTAACTGCAGTAAATGTTACAATCTACTTGTTTTACTGATTTTCCTTTTGGGGAATCTGCCTACTAAATGAGTAAACTACATATTACAATATTCTCAACCAAAAAGACAATACAAGGTGCACAAAACAGCAGTTCTGCAAACACAACTGACTTCAAAACTGAATTTTTGTATGCTCAATGGGAGAAAGCTAAGCTTAAATCAAATTAGATTATCTTATAGATTTTAAATTAGAATTTTAAACAACGAACAGCTAAATATTGTCAACATGCTATATCTCAAATCACAAGTACTGTTTAACCACTAGTCTTTCATTCTATGCAAGTGGGTCAATTAAAAAACACACACCATAAAATGTTAAAGATTGTCAGGCTTTGACAAATGTATTTTTATCAAACAGTAGGCAAATTCAAACCAATGCACATCTTCAACGGGGAGGAGAAAAAAAAAAACACCACCAAAAAGCCTGACAAAACTCACAGTTGTAAAAAATAGGGTAACAGATTAATTCCACGTCATTCTCTAGCATATGGCTATGTCTTGAGCAATAATCAAAATCCTTCCCATCTTAAAAATGGGCTACCAATTAATAAAAATATTCTTCCACAAGTAAAATATCATTTACAATGGCACTGACATTTTGAAAGGCAGGAAAAAAAAAAAGGAATTACACATGTATGGATAAATTTCTTGTTTGTTAAATCAAGCTTTATTGATAAAATGGAATTCAAAGTATTTTACTTGGAACAGCAGCAGACCCAGCCAATCAGGATTGTAAAAATGCTGCAGACTCCTACTGTATGTAGAAAGCTGCCTGTTCATGCTCAGTGATTAGTAGTTTCAGGTAAGGGTTAATGAAAAAAGAGGTGCAAAGAATCAAGGCATTGTAATCCCAAGGTTTGTATGCCTATGGACACGACACTATTAATAGGGCATGATTTAACTCCCACTGAAGTCAAAATCAGAACTCCCTTTAACTCAATGTGAGAGTAGGAGTGCATCCAAGAAAACGATATACATTTGTTGAAGAATGTGCACTACTCTTAGCTATTTTTTCATTGCCAAGCAAATTCACACACTGTAATTTCTGGTAAATTGCCCACAAGTTCAGCTTTCACATATAACAAAAAATTATCTTTACAGTTTTGTGCACCTCTTAAGCACCTAGCTGGCTAGGCTGCTGCTCCTTGCAATCCAAAACCACAACATGAATTTAAAGGGATATATACTGTAGCATCACACAAGCCAAACGTTTCTTCTAACCTTTATAGTGATTTAAAGCAGTTCATAATTAAATATGAGCGTTTTGTACAAAGACAATTGCACTTTACAAAAACAAAATCATACAACATAAATCGCTGGAGTCTGATTTACAACATGAATTATGTTTTGAAATCACGTTTACAGAAGTCTGTTTTACAAAAAAGATCAGTTCCTGGGCTACATGTCGTACTGCTGTAGTCATTCTCACCAACACATACTCCCTTCCTTAATTAAGGTTGAGGATGGATGTTAAGAAGGGTCACTGAGGTTGGGCTGCACCTCCATTGGAAGGATGAAACGTGAACTCCACAGCTAGATGAGCAGTTTCACCACATATCATCAGTTGAGGCAGAGTCCTTAAAGAAAAAAAAAAGAAGGAACCCTTTAAAGTCTGGAGCGCCCATAGTTACAGCAGTTTCTGGATAATCCAGACCAAAAAGGGTAAAGACTGAAATTGTTTTATGAGTCTGTTTTTTCTCCCCTTTCAAAAACAGCATTTAAGAAGTATCTAAAAACCACATACGCTTAATTAGTATAGTAGTTCCAAGACATTTCAAAATCTCTCCGAGTGTTTATAATAGCCTTATCAATCCTCAAAATGCTACCCCAGGAACGTTACTCAAAAACATTCCCAGAGTAGCTAGAAGTAATACAAAATAGACACACTTACTACACAGGTGTGTTAAAAGAGCAGGATGTGCCTCATGCCATTTGTTATTATTATTACCATCTTTTGTGTTTTCAGCCCTCTCTCACTGCATAGGAAGATACAGTCATCAACTAACACCCTGTTATAGTTCAGATCAATTTAAACTGCTTTTGTACAGCAATCTTAGGTTGTTTCAGCATTACCTGCTACCTTTCCCTAGTAATTAAGGGCTATGATGGGCTTTAACAACAGTGCATGCTGGTGCTTCCAAAGCTATACTTACTTCCCTATCATTACTAAAACTGCAGGAGGTAGAAATATTACTCCTCTCTAAAAGCACTGCCTTACTTATTCCTTGAAGAGGGAAGAGGCTAATTAAATCTCTAGCAATGCCTCATATGACAATTTCTTAGTACTGAAGTCCTGCACCATTCATTCAAACTTGCACACAGAATTCATGACAAACCATAAAGAACAGTTGGCATGGAGGTGTAGTAAAACAAACAAAAAAAACCAACCAACCAAAATCACTAAAATTACCCTTTGCAAAAGTACCACTTCCAGTTTTTCCTTCGACACCAGAAGTAGCAAAGGAGAGCAATTATAAGAAAGACCAAAATGGTTGTGTTTGTTTCAAAGTAAAAACGCAGGAGCTGCATGCCAACTATTCAGTATGCAAATTTCTGTATCCAAGTTGCCAACATCATCACAAAACAAATCTGTCTACTGTACCTCTGTAGAACACTAACAAAATATAGAACGTATTTTGAAGGTAAAGTGTCCTTTTTCAGCCACTATTTAGGAATTATTATTTTAAAGATTTGAGAACTGCCAAAAGATCTAAGAACTGCACCCAGCTGTAAAGCCAACACGCGATTCTTCATGTCTAGATGCATTTCACTTTTGTCACATCTAAGCATGTAAGTAATTTTTGCTAATAGGTAAAGGATCAATTACTTTATAAAGTACAGCACTTTCAGTGACAGAAGTTCTTTCTAGTGATCTAACTGCAATTGAGATTACAGTTCATATTTTAGAGTTTTGGGTTTTTCCCCCCCCCCACAGTGGATTCATGTCACTCTGATCACTGACATTTAAGAACCTTAACTGTATGCTTGCTGAAGGATGCGCTATGCTTAAGAATAAATGTATTTACACAGTCCATTTGGAAAGTTAATATATCCTTAAAGCTGATTAATGACTCTTTGCACCATTTGGCAGGAAAGCATTTAGAAACCCAAGCAGGATTCGAATAATGAAATTCCAGAGAACAAGCAAACCAACGGAGGTTTTGGGACTATGCTCAGCAGAACATTTACCAAGCATAATCCAAAGCACACAACATTACTATTGCTTCTTTGGGGAAAGGGGTCCTTTAACAACAACTAGAAATACATTTCTCTACAAAACCGCTAAAATAATTGGGGTGGGGGAAAGATAATTTAAAAGAAAAGGTACTTACAGTATCATCATTCCTGTAGGGGTTCAGTCTGTTATAAACGGCTTCAATCACACTCCGTCTAGAGCAAAAGAAAACCCACAAGATTTTAAGGTTGTGTCTTTTTTTTTTCCTTCTTTTTAAAGTCAAATTCCCTAAGTACAATTTTAATTTCAAATACAAGCTTTTTTAACAAGTTTCAGATTCACAGGATCAAGTTCACTGCAAGTTAGCACTGTCATTAAACACTGAACACAGCACCAAACCCCTTAAAACCTTTAGTAGAAGAAGGCTGAGGAGCACTCAGAGCTCAGCAGGAGACGTGCACAAGGTGACAGTGAGTCGAGGCTACAACGCTGCCTGGTGCTACGTCTCTTGACTTTGAAAAAGGAAACTTGAAGGACATTGAATGTCCTGGTCATTTGTATGTCTGATGACCGCTGCAGTAGTACTTCACGTATTATGGCACTTCCATAGGAGAATAGTGGGTTCTTTTATTTTCTGGATGCACATAAATTGCATTCTGAAGTGCGTTTTTGTTCCTGTTACATTCTGAAATGTACTTTCCAGGTGCAAACCTGGAAAAATAGTTCCTGAAGCAACATTATTTTACAATAAGATGTCCAATAATGTCCTCCAACTTTTCTCAAAAAAATTATAAACTGCAAATAGCAGTTCTATGTATTGTATCTAAGAATTTTGCCTGGCAAAAAGTATTAAAAGAATTAATTTAAGCCTCTTGACAGTTTCCGCCTTTAAAAAAAATTGCTTAGCCTATTTAAGATAGCTTGTAATTAACTTTCATCTTGGAATTCTTGGCTTCTCTAATACTGACAGAAAAATAAAATATTGATAGGAAATATATTGATAAAACATTAATAGAAAAATTGTAAACAACAAATGAGCAACTTTTTTTTTTAAACATAGGGTGAAAAGGTTTTCTTGAAAACTGATACTCAAAAAAAATCCTACATGAGGCTGAAGGAAGAGGAAGCCTTTGCCTTACCCAGAATATAAGGAAATAACTTTGGAGGGGGAGCAGGACGGAAAGAGGGGAGTAAAAGACAGGAATTATGGATTGGACTTTAAAAGCAACTTTCTTCCAGGTCCCTTTCTGCAGAACCAAGTGTGACGGAGCAGCAGACTGAACTGCGATACAAAACAAACTTCAAAGAACAACCTTTTAACTGCCCATGAATGCATGCAGAGCAATCACAAAGGAGTGCAGTAGAAGAAAAAAGGCAGATGACAGGCTTTATAATAATCCCATAACACTGAAAAGTCAAGAACTACCATGCAGCAGTACAAACACCACAGTGAATCCAGTGAATGGTTATAGGGCATGGAAGAAGAGGCTGAATTTAAAGCAATAAAACCAAGCAGTTACACACAAAGTACATTGCACATATGAAATGGAAAATTTCCTTTATCTTTCAAGAAATAGGTATCTTTGATTCTAAATAAAGGCAGGCTTCTTGAAAAGCAGTATTTTCCTTCCAAACTGTTTTGAGTTATGCGAACATCCAGTGAAATCCATACTTCTATCAGTCCCTATTCAAACTAGCATCACGGAGACACAAAATCCCATGGCAGTCAGTCATTTCAGTACTTCCTCACAACCATGATGCTATTGCTAGCCAAAGGAGGCTGAGAAAAATCAAACTGTATGCCATATTTCATAAGTAACTGGCCCATCTACACTTCATGACTGCAGCAATACAGCCTAAATAGGATAAATTTTTCAAGTCAAACAGTTCAAATAAGAACAATTTTGTTTTGTAGAAGTCACAGTTCAGTTATCATCTATTCAATTACATACCTAGAGTCTTCATGTTGTGGTGTAACAATACAAAGACCATACTCTAAAGGGTTAAAAATATAGTCTCATACCATACGTGCCCAATCCATTTTAAAACAGCACAGGTTCATGAACAATCCTTTGATCCAAAAAGCACTCGGTTTGGTGTGCCAACAAGCTACGTACAGTGCTTCCTTAAAGACTGAGCATCTATTTAAGAAGTCACAGAGCATCAATACTGAACACTCTTCCAAGGACAAAGCCAGCCTATATAGAGGTGCAAATTTAGCTTCCCACTTTCCTTGATAGACTTCTATCTAATTTTCTGATTTGTCACAAGCAGAGAGATACAAAAGCAAACTTTCAAGCAATTACAACATTGCTTTACTACAGATAAGAAAAGAAAGCTGCAAAGCAAATCATAATATCCATATCACTGGTTGTCAGAGTGTAGAACTACTAAAGTCAGTGCATTATTTTTGCATCTTCAAATGTAACCTCCCACCCAGAAAACCCAGTTAATTACAGAAAACAGACACACTCAGGCCACCCTTAAAAAAAAAATCCTCAGTCCTTCCCAAAACTACAGTTTGACATTAATTTTAACATTCATAGTTAACTTATGTCCTTTGACTTTAATTTTAACATTCATAGTTAACTTATGTCCTTTTCATTCCGAACGACCCAGTAATAAAAATCGGAGAACAGATCATCACCTTTTGCCTGGTACCCTTCTTCCCTCCCCCCACTTTTAAGAGTGGCCTTACAGTTAAGTTTCGATTTAAACAAAAAACCCCACATTTACATCGATGTGAACTCACTTGCTCGCCAATTCACCCCCCGGCGGGAGGTTTGGGATGCTCTCAGTTGCTAACGTACGCATCACGTGGACTAAGTCTGGGACTCCTTCACCCTGCTTCTTTATGATCTCTGGGAATCAGAAGTACTTTTTTTGTAAGTGCAGTCCAAATTTAACTTTAAAAGATTGAAACACTCAGTTTTATAAAAAGGCAGCTTAACCTCTGTTAATACATATTAAAAAAAAAATAAATAATAATATGACAGACCACATTCAACATGGTAATTGTTATCTTGTGTTCCGTAAGAAAAAGAACCTGTAACAGATTTGACAAAGATATACTGCTGTTAACATGCACACTGGTTTTAGAGATACACAGCTACCTAATAGAAGTGAGGAAAAAAACCTTTAATGGCTTTCCCACTATATATTAGTTATAATAGACGATGTAATATCTTCCCAACAAAATGCCCTGGGCACGAGGCAGATATTAACATCAGCTTTATCACTGTAACAGAAGGTAAAAGATTGTTGTCATCATAGAAAGCATAATATTTTCAAGAAACAAAAGGTTAGACACATTGAAATAACTCCCATGGCTGTATGCATATTAGCCAATACTTGCACCTTCCTGCGTTAGAGCAACATGCAGATTTTAAGAACTATTACACAAAAATTAAAAAGCCAGGAACATCACAGCTAAGAGACGGTTCCATCCTCAGTCACTCAGGGGATATGTGAATATTGGCCAGTTAAAGCTGATCCACTCCAACTTCTGGATGAAGAGAATCTGTACTGTAGCCACAGACACATTTTCTAAGAATCAATTCTTTAACTTTATTCTTAGGCTTGGTTTTGTTTATTTTTTTTCCCCCAAGTTGTAAGCACACAATTTTATTTGAACTCAAGAGATTTCACACCATACCACCTCTGAAGAGTCACGCTTTAAATAGGGTGAAGAACAAGCACATTTTTAAAAATGCATCTTATTGGTTTCTCTGTAAACATGAGCTCTTAGAAATAATACGAGATATGAATTAAGACTTGGTGCTGTTGATCTTCAAGTGAATACTTCACCACACGTGCAGTAACGTGTGTCTACGTGCGCATATATATTTATATATACACACACACTATTCCTGATGTAAGAAAGCATTTACACAGCTTGGAAAGCAGTTGGAATTCATCAATACCACTTCCGAAAAATACTCTACCATTCAGTTTTTGCCCTAAATGATAATTCCAGGACACAAACCAAGCTTCCATTTTATCATTTAATTAGTGAGATATGGCCCATTAAAAGCTTTTAAAACCAGCATGTATCCAGTCCTTTTTAGTTAAAAAAAAATTTAAAACAACAATTGCGAATTACTTTTTGTGCATGTAATGTTTTTTCAGGGCTGTGTGTGTTTACAAAAGCATCAGCTCTATTTTGCAGTGAGGTTGTGTAAATTATTTGCAAGGCAGAGTGCAAACACTGTCTAGCCCTTGACCAGTGTCAAACTCTGCGACATAAAGCTTTAAGCGGTTTACTTCAAAACCTACATTTTAAATATGACACCACATACCACAGACACCTCAAAAAACCCTTGCCATTTCCTCAAAATCTATAGCCAAAATACATTTTACCATCTAGTATTTAGTAAATAAATAATCTAACACTCTTAAATCTGAATAAGAAGCAAAGATCTCAGATTTGGTTTGCCAAGTTCCTTTATTGTGCAATTTTGAACAACTAGTATATTCTACATTGTGCTAGTGCTAAAGTTCTGCTGTACAAAAATAAGGAATTTATAGTTTACCTATACTACACAGTTTCACAACCTGTAACTGCAGTACATTTAACATACAGTCTCCACTAATGGAATACATTTATATTTTGATAAAACTATAGATACAGACTGAATGTACACTGAAGACACAACAAATGGAGTCGGTCTGCTAGCTGTGTTTAATTTATTGGAATTATCTTCTTTGAATACATCTTACAACCCTCCCCCCAACTTTTAATTTACTTTTAAACCTTCTACACATTTTCATGGCATCAAGTACTGGAAAAAAGTACTTACAAGCCAAAAAAAACCCCCAAAACCTCTAAATATAACTGCTTTCTCATATTCTGAATGGGATTTCCACACAAAGTTTAAGAAAAAGCCAGAGCTTTGATTTTGTGAAAATATGGGGAAGACCATATAACAGCTAACTTGAAAATACTTCTCTCTCTATAGGTATAAATATTGCAAGGATTATCTACTCCAGAATGTTTTTATGTAAAAAACATGAGAACAGAAAAAAGCTTAGACAAGTTTCTTTTTAGAGTCAACACATCAATAACACATATTAGTGCAAATAATAGCAACACATTTTGGAATGACTGATTAATTCTACCATGAAGTTCACACGATATTTTAGGAGTAACACTGATTTATTGCAAGTAATGGCACAAAGATGCTTCTCCACACTTGCTTCTTCCATTGTCATTTATTGTAGCTCTGAATCTGGACTATGAACACATCAAAATTTATAAAACCCTAGGTGGCATGGTAAATAGAAAACTTTCTACTTTTTTGAAAAATCTGAATCGCCTCTCCTTATTCAAGATGACCATTAGTATTAAGCCCTATTCACTCTTAAAATTTGCACCACTATTTAACAGTATAAGGATATACTCTGGGCTGAGGGAATAAAAGTACAACCAGAAAAAAATGCACATTAGTAAGCATCAAATCTCATTACTTGTTGGACTACACTGAGTGCTGAAGTGCATAAAAGTACATAATATGCATTTTCACCAGTTTCCGTTTTAACCAACTTTTAACTTTAAATTGACATTACAGATTAGTAAAATTATTCTAAAACTACCCTTTACCTTTACTACCCTAGTTCCTTCAGCTGAAGATTAGGCTTTTAAAGTTAAGCACTGTCATTCTGAAAGTATTCTAGGATAACAGCAAGATTATTCACTGTAGTGTTGAAAGTTTCAGGTGCTGTAACAATTCTACCTTACTAGCCAATACTACATTAGCCAATTACACCAAGAAACAAATTAACTGCGCAATAATTAAGTTCAATGTAACAAAGGTAATCAATTCCTGTTCTTGAAGTTGTGCTTGAGTTCAGCCTCTCAACCTCCCTCATGAATAAGACCTCAAAGGTCAAATTCTGCACACAGCTGATACAAATCACTGCTGGGTTCAATAGTGTTTACTACATATTCTTTGATTTAAATAGTGTCTTTGTGCAACAATAGACAAAAGATTGAGGACAACTCTAAAAAAGATGCAAACACCTTTGAGGGGACATACAATGAATTTCCTCAAGTTGTTCAAACACCATCCCATTAAGTTAGTATTAAAGTGCTTTATAACTACGTACAGAATCCTTCCACCTCTGCAAGAATCACACTTCGCTCATTCCTGAAATTTTGTATTTGTATAAATGCAAAGTACTAGCAGCCAAATTCACTGTATGTACCATAATATGCAGTTCCAGTGTTTAGGTTCTTCATTTACAAAATGAAGCGTTTGTACAAAAATGTCAGCTTTCCTCATTGTAACATTCCTGGGGTACAATGAGGCCAGCTGAAGATGCAGCCTTAAATTGAACTTATTTTCATACTGTAGATCATAAGTTTGTCTGAACCCAGACAAAATATCTAAGGTACAAAGGTAATACTTGCCCAAATTTGGAGAGCTAGCATTCTGTAAATTAATGCATGAATTTACAGCATAATTTTTCTTTCCCAGTTCTGTGAGTGGGCACACATACCTAGCTCTTCAAAAGCCTGGTGCAAAACTGCTCACCACTTTGAAATGGAGAAAGCCTGAAATGGAGAAACCTGACCCTTAACTCACACAGTGTTACCATGCACTGGGATACTCCTGCTATGCTGTCAAAAAGATTCACAGTAGTCCTTCAACTTCTCCTATTAGGCAAGTTAGTTAAGTAGACAGAAACGTCTACTTGGACACTTGTCGAGAGGCAAAACAGATTTAGTTTGCCAAGACTCTGGGAATGAGGGTGATACTTTCTGAAAGAGCACCTACACAAGTAGTAAGTGCTTTAAAATTGCACCTTAATTTGTCTGGAATGAGAATTCTCATTCTCTGTGAAATTTCTGATGCTGCACTGTTATCTTCATACAAGTTAAGGATGAGAAAAAGTGCATAATATATTCCTCTAACTCACTAATCACTGTTGTGAAGAATTCTGCATATTGTGCCCTGTGTGCTATTAAGGATTCTTGGAGTATATATGCATAACTAGACTTGTAACACATATATCTGGACTGTACTTCAAAAATAGACTTAACCTATGCAAATAATGCATACAGCATGTCTTAGATATCAGAAACAAACTCCAAGCTGTAGTCATTTTTAAATACCAAAAGGCACTATAAATCCAGTTTCATTGAGAATTTTTTTAAATCAAATTGATTTCAAATATCATTTTCAGTTAGGTGATTCAAAATGCCTAAGACCTGCAGTTTCAATTAAAAGTTTAAGAATCCCAAAATACAAATTTAAAGCAAAATTTTGAAGCTATTATTATCAAAGTAAAATGAGCTCCCACCTTTTGTTCATCATGAATGCTTAAAGATTAGCTTTGATAAATTTCTGATGCACTTTTAAATAAGTAAATATATTAGCAGGTACCTTAAAGATGACAGTAATCAAGCTGTAACCCTACCATAATTGGATAATAAAATATTATGGCCAATTAACTTGTACCTAACTATACAGAAAAAATGGCACGCAAATTATCCTCTTCACAGACTGATTATTTCATGTAATTCCAGGATTTACTGGTGGGAAGTTAGCGCTGTTAATGGACTCATGGAGAACACTTGAGCCCAAATGAATTATTTCTCTGCCATCCTGAATAATTTTCAGGGCTATAGGCTGCTACACTTTCACAGCAGAATTTTTTCAGGACATACAGCAGGACTGTGTAAGTGCCTTTTTCAGACATGTAAACAAGATGGCCAATGGCACTTGAAGGTCTGCTAAAAACCTGTTACACAGTTAAAGAGTTTAGTTGTTGGAAGAGGAAGGGGAGGGCAGGGGGTCTGTTTAGAAACAAAGTTACTTATTTTTTTTTAAATGATCCACCTTCTACTCTGCTTTCCAGGTACTTGTCCAACTCTGCCTCTCTTTTCACCGCCTCTGGCGATACCTTTGGTGCATTCGGAAAACAGATCAATATCACACTCATGTTGTCTCGACTTCCCTGGTGGAAAAGAAAAAATGACTTGAGAATGCATATACACCAGGCTAAATACACATCAAAGCACTTTACACACAAACCCAACATTTACTACTATGGATTAATATTATCATTAGCCTTAATTTCCCCCCACCCACTTATGGAATTCCACAAGTCCACCCATTCATTCAGTACAACTTGTAAATCACTTTGTTCTTTACTCTTTCATGGTCTGAAAACTACGTGGAGCCAATTACAGACAGCCCATTGTCTTTTAAAACCTGATATTACTAATGAGTGACTTGTAACTACAAAGTTGTGTTCCATCTTAAGGACTATCCAATCATTCTGGGAAAACAGCTGGGTAAACAAAACCATTACTGCTTAAAAGCACTAAGCAGGGGGGTGCTGAATTCAGACAGTGCTTCCACCTAAAATCACAGTTATTAGGTGGTTTTTTGCCTCCCTTTTCTTTCAAAACAAGAAGAGTTACAAGTGAGAGAATCTGTTGAAAGACCAGCTGGAAGGGGCCCAAAGCCTTTACAAAAGCTTCTTCGAAATGGAAGCATTTAAAACTCCAACTAAATAGAACCCGAATACTTTAATATGTTAAAATACAAACACATTCTGCTTATGAAAAGTAACTGTTTAGTTTACTTTCTATACTCCTGTGGCTCTAGTCTACCAACATGCATCCATATGCTTAATTTTTAACGACAATTAAATCCAGTGAAGTCAGCAAGATCATACAAGAGTGTACAGGCATAGACAGTTGGCTACTGCAAAGATTACAACATCCACAAGCCACTGTTCCTATTTGTTTTCAGGATTACCAGACAAAATTGTAAACAAAAATATATGCATTATCAATCTGGCAAAGTGCTGGAAAGCAATTACATGTTTCCAAAAGGGAAACAAATGACCTTGTTAGCCATGTGGCAGGAGTAGAGATTGTCTTGTCTCTTTATTATCAAAAATGTTGGCTTTTTTTTTTTTTTTACATTATACCTTATAACTTCCCTTTGGAAAGGGAAGACACTTAATGCCAAGTTATAAAACTCAGTACTTCAAACCTCTTCTGTAACTGAACCATCCTGCAACTTATTAATACAAAGTTATTGTAGGCAAAATTACACAGATTTGTTACACAAAACAGTCCTATCTTCTTCTACTTGAGCTAGTTTCAGAGCTGTATCACACAACACTGAATATGAAATACAGTAATCACACCAGAATAAAAATTAACTTAGTAAGTCAGATCGTCATATAGTCAAGAAGAAATTTTAAACTGCAAAATACGAAGTCAAGGTTCATTCATTCTGCATTTGTCTTGGTGTGGTTATGACAGTAGTGTTACTACTATATGGCCAAGAAAGGAAGGAAAAGAATATTCTCTAGCCTGTTTAAGTCTTCAGAGTTAAAGTTTTGTAAAGTACGTTGTGTAACAGAAAAGGGCAGTTATTGGCTTGCCCATAAATTCCCATCAGCTTCTAGTTTCTTAGTGATCGCAATGTATCTGTATACCATTTTAAATTCTTAATTAATGAAAACCACCTAGAAAGACATACTGTTTCTGTTGTGTCTTCGTTCCCCTCTATCAGCATTTCTGTGGGAATCATGGTAATTACTAAGTCATGTTAACATAAACCATTTGATACTTATAGACCGGAACCAAAACTTATTCTAAACTTGTTCACAAACATTAATAAGTGAAAACAGGAAACTTCTCTCAAGTCTGGCTACCTTGTACAAGCAGGTGTCAACTATCTCATTGCAAACTTTCTCAAGGTCATCAGTGACTTCAAGTCTGGATCTTACAAAGTCACACAGCTCTTCATTTCCCATAACATCCCAGATTCCGTCGCAAGCCAGTATGATGAATTGATCATCTTCTTCTGATCTTTCAATTTCATAAACTTCAGGCTCAGGTGAGACCAGCTGTTCTGTAGGACCTTTCCCATGGACACATTTGTAATCAAAGTCCCCAAGTGCCCTTGAAACAGCAAGAGAGCCATTCACACGCTGAATCATTACAGAGCCACCTGCATTCTGTATACGCTCTTTCTCCAGTGGATTACTTGGTTTGTGATCCTGTGTGAAGAAGTGAACCTTCCTGTTTCTACAAAGTAAACCTCTTGAGTCTCCACAGTTGATGAAGTAAGTATGTTGGGGAGAAATCATGACACCCACAGCTGTTGACCCACTTCTGTCTGCACCATGTTTCTTCTCGGAGATGACTCTCATGTGTTCGTCAATTTGCAGAAAACCTGTTCTGATGCCGCTCTTTACACTTTCTACAGATGGTGGCCCATCTGGCCCTTTAAAATCCTGGTTGCTCGTGATGTGATCTAATAAATGCTCACAGCAGTACTTGGCAACCTGTGACCCAGCATGCCCATCGTATACAGCAAAAAATGACCATCCATCAAGTCCATTTGGCAAACCAATCACAGCCGTATGTGCATCCTCCATTTCAACCCGCCAGCCTTGCATACTACTCAGACCATAACGAAGTCCGTTCCCTTGCCCCTGGGCATTATGCTTCTCCATCTTTGGCTTGTCTAAAAATGCTCCCATGATGACTTTCTTTCAGTTCTAAAAAGAAAAAAAAAAGGATTAAGATATTTCTTAAACATCCTCTGTTTAAACAACTTATCGGAAACTATTAAATAATAGCCCAAATATTGTAATACACGGATATGAAGCTGACTTTTCTGTGTGTGTCTCAAGTCAAATCTGCATTGCTTTCACCTAATTTAAACAAGGGCATCGGTAATAGCCGAATTGCACTCCTCATGTTTTTGTAAGTAAAACAGCTGAAAATACTTAAGGAACTTGTATTTCTTCCCAGTACCTAAAGGGGGCCTATAGGAGAGAGCTGGGGAGTGTAGCGAGAGGATGAGGGGTAATGATTATAAACTGAAAAGAGGGGAGATTTAGATTAGATGTTAGGAAGAAATTCTTTGCTGTGAGGGTGGTGAGGCACTGGAACAGGTTGCCCAGAGAAGCTGTGGATGCCCCATCCCTGGAGGGGTTCAAGGCCAGGCTGGAAGGGGCTTGGAGCAACCTGGTCTGGTGGGAGGTGTCCTTAGGGACTGAACCCCCAAACGGAACCATTCTATGATCAGAATGTTAATTCTATGATTAACAGTTCTGACAAAAGCCTCTCGTATAAGTAAGCATAAAATTAGTTTGAAAAAGGACTTGTTAACTGGCTCTGAATAGCCATGCTCCCTGCCGTTCCTGAGCCAGTAAAAGAGTTCAGTGTCTCCAGGACAGTGGCATTCCCTGTATCCCTACCTGCTGGCCACAAAGTCCGGCTCATGCTCTGCTTTTTCCAATGTTTTTGGGAAGATGAAAGAAACTGATTAGGCTTTCCTTTGGGGGATGAGGTTCAGGGGTTTTTGTTTGGTGGGGTTTTTTTTTTGTTTTGTTTTGAAACAGATAAAGTGATCTGAACGATCAAGATGATGCCAGAGTCTGCATAAAGGACGAGGCCACGCTGGCTAACTAGGAGCAGGACTGGGAAGGAACAGAGCAGCTGTCCCTTTAGGCAGCAGCAAGCCATTAGTTTGGCTCAGCCATCTTGTGAAAGCTCATCCTTAGATTTTCAGTTAAATTACACAGCAAGCTTCTCAGATGTCTGTGCTACGGATTTACTTAAAACCTTAATGTATTCCAGCTTCACTTAAAGACAACTGCCCCTGACAAGCCTAAGGAAATCTGTTTGGAAATAAAATCACAAGTAGCATAAATTCATGCTTCCTTACTGAAACCAGAAGAATATAATGCACACCCCATCCTCCTCCTCCCATCATTAGGATGTGATGCGGCAAATATTCATGCTTAAGAGAGTAAGAATTATATTTGCAGGCAGCGTAAACTGACTGGTTTATCTTCATGGCTTTCACATCCTAACCATCCAACCCACCCTTCTAATCCACTTCAGTTTACTTGTGCACTCATTAGTTAAAAAAAAAAAAAAAAGCCATACAAAATAGGTCACACATTTTACATACTTGCAAATTCTGCCCTGGGAAGCATCAAAGAGTGTGCAAATCACTGTTATACAACACAAGGTAATGGAACAAGACTACGAGCTTTTCCATTTGAAGAGAGTGGACAAAAAATTAACTGTGAGAAGAGCTTCTGAATCAGATTTTACCTGAGGCCTCCACTAAGCAGCTGTACCAGCAGAAAAGTTCGTATACTAGGGAGTTTAGAAGGTTTTAACTTGGATGTGGAATACATTTGATAAGTTTTCTAAGTGATAACATGCTTTTAACTGAAACACAGCTCCAGCTGTGACACCATTTATCCAACAAATCTTTTCAAATTGTCTCTTTCAGCCACTATCAACCTTTCTAGAAATTCTGTGTGTGTTAGAATAAACAGTAAAGAAAGGTTTCTATTTGGTCTCACCACAACAGCGATTCAAATGCGAGGCACAGGGACTGGATATACACTCTGGCTCACAGGCTTTGTTAACAAAATGAAGAGCTGCATGTACTTCAGCTGGACTAAAGAGATGTCAGCAGCAGCACCTCTGCCTCCCCTCACCCCCACCCCTGCTCTTAACTTCTGTCTCCACGCCAAGTGTAACCAGCCAACAAAACAGAGCCTACACTGGCCTTGTATTCTAAGCACATGCATGAGATTAACATTACTGCAGTCACTAGGAAAAAAGATACAACTTAGACTTTTTTTCCCCCCCTCTTCACATACAACTCTAGTGAAGTCAGAGTGATCAAAGTAATTACAGAATGCTGCCGTAAATCAAATGGGGAGTTCTTTTGCAGAATAATAGACTTTTTATTCATCCATAATAGCAGACGACTAACACCTAACACCTTCTTTTTTGTCAAAGAGATCATGAAATAGAAAGCAGATATTCAATTATTTCACCTTAATTTAGAACTCAAAAAGCAGAGACTGCCCTGACAAATACCGCATTTTTGTGGAGTATTTTACTTTATTACCACGTTTAAAACAAAACAGAAAAGCACTAAGAACAGGATACAGTTAAACTGACCACAAGCACCATCAACTTTGGACTAAAAAAGGCAGTTTTCCTTCTGATTTGTCACATGAATAGGTAAACAATATTCAGAGTTGTGCTTTGTAAGCTGCTTGTCCCTCTCAGCAGTTTGTCATGTAAATCACAATTAAAACCACATACAGACAGGTCCTATGCAGTTCTAGCAACTCATACAGAACTGCTAACACACTCCAGAAATTAACAAATCCACTCTCAATTTAAGATCAAGTTGCCTTATTCCTCCCCAGAAGGTAACTGAAAGCTGTTGCTATTCTAAATTAAGCCTTGTAGGTGAGATGTTGACACATGATTCTTCAAGGGTGCGAGCTCCCCGCTGTAGACGTGAATACAATGAGACAGAAGGATAACCACAATGTGGTCACATAACTTCTACTTAGGAAATTATTCACATCCCATAGCATAAAGCAGTCACCTTCTGAAAACTGCAATAATAGACTGTAGTTGCCTCCCTTGCAACACTCCAGCCAATCATACTTCCACCAGAACACCAGTCTAAACCTGGAGGAGAGCAGGCCAGGTTTTCAAAATCCTACATCATCGGAAGGGAAAGCACAGTTTACTCGTGGAAAGGACAAATATGTCAAGCCTTGAGTTTTCCCAGAATTTCAATTCTTGTTCAGAGAAATTTAAGTTTAATAACCAATCTGAATTCTTATGAATAAGAGGCTACCTGATACTTTTCCCCTAACATACTTATGTGTAGCTAAAACCTGAAGAATTTAGAGTCTTAGTTATTAAAAAAAAATAAAAAAAATCATAGTTTTTAAGCAAGGGATTCACGCTCACAAAAAAAGGCTGACATAAGAAAGCCATACCTCCTCCCTATTAAAAATATCTTTTAGAGCTGTTTTCAAGTCCATATCTACGGAAACATCTTTAACACATCAGTGTCTACCTAAATAACTAGTACATTCTTCATTCTTTCATGAGGCGGTTTGTGCACTATACTGATGAAGTTGGAATGACACCTTTAGTTAAGCATATAACTCTGTATGCAAATCACATCAACCTATGGCAGTGCAAGCGTCCAGGTTACAGCATGACTTTGGTATGCAATAACACCAAAGAGAGAAGTCAGACCCAGAACAGTTTGCATGCACGTTGTGCAACAAAGCAACAGATTCTGAACATGGTTTAACTTAACAGGCTCTTATATTTCTTCAGTCGTCAGGAGTCCTCATCTTATGACCCTTAGTCTCCAAATAATTTACTACCCTTCTCATTGTCCTTCTTAACCCAGCCACACATTTCTGCAACCACGTTAGAAAACTGCAGTCTCATGGCAGGAGACAGAACCAGCCCTCTGCTCTGGACACCTCAACTTTCAGGATGCTTGAATGATGTGCGTACGTACTAAAGGGCACAGATATTCTCCCTACTCTTATTAAAGCCAAAGTAAGAGAAAATACACTTTATTCATGAAGTTTAGTGGCAAATGCACACCACCCACATTTTTTTCATAAAGATGAGCAATTCTGAACAGTACTATAGCAGCAGAGCCCTGTAAAAAGATCAGAGGTGCAACGTTTTCTTCAGAAATGGAAACTCAAACATCATCTGGCACTGCAACTGCCACGATTAGTCAAGTAAACTTCAATTTCAACCTAAGATAATTCTTACTTCATCATCTCTGTATCAGTGACTTCCATTAGTTTCTCCTAAAAGAGAAGAACTTTCTGCAAAGTTCCCAGGTTTTGGCTCTGGAGAATAGAGAGGCTTCTGAACAAATCTTAAAGTGAAAATAGATCCCTCTGCAGAAAAACTAATATGCAGGGGGATCTATGCTTCTACAAGTGCATCTAAACCATGACTTCTGAAATGTTGATTTTGTGGAGGTCAAACTGAAGGACAGCCTCTACAGCAAATGCATGAAAAACTCAAGTTGCAGTTTGCAGACAGAAAAGCAAGAATACTGTAGGGAGCCTAGAAAAATCAACACATGTAACAAGATGCTGGATAAAACACAAGAGTGCGAAAATTCAAAGGACTGGAGCATTAGAAACAAAACTGAAATAATGAATGGAGTGTGCCAAAGAGTCAGTAGCTAAACTCCTTGAAAACAGATGCAACTGGAGAACAGAGTGGCACAGAAAAGAAGGGTAATTAGTATACTGGACCATGGACAACCACAGACACATCACTGGAATGCATGAAATCTCTTTGCCCCTTCACCTGTCCCTCAAATCGTGCTATCCAGACAGCATAACACCTTCTTATACACCCAAAAATAAGTTTTACTGTTTTGCTATTTGCTTATTTATTTGCTTGAAGTTTCAAATGAAGGTAAGTCCTAAATTGTTCATAAAGCACAATTAATGTAATTCCATGTACCCCTGTAAAGAAATTTTATTTTTCCAAGGAATTCAGACAAGGACTTGATTGTCTTGCCCAAGAAAACCAACCACCCCCATCTGAAACTCGTACTTTAACAATATGAAACTTAATAATCCTTTTAAAACAATGTTCGAGTTGTATTCCTTCCACCAGGATAAGCTGCTTATATGAACCAAACAAGTCACAGGCACTTGTTCAAACT